AGGAGATTTCCCAGCTTTCTTCTTAGTAGCTTTGACCCCCGGAGCACTAAGAAGTTCTGAAGTCAACACCCTCAGGCCGTTCTGAATACAGCCATCCATAGCAGTAAGGAGACTCACAGGTCTCCCATGCGCTAGCAAAACAGCTGGGTACACAACCTCAGCTAATATTGCCTCGATCGGTCTTGACGGTACTACGCACCGCTTCAACCAAATCATGAAGAAGCCCGCAAGTAGAGCCGTGTCAGAGATAGGAACTGTGGCTTGGTAGTGGAAACCTTCAAATTCAATACCAGCTTCAAAATCATCCTCGGCATGCTCTGTCTTATAGGTAGCACTGGAAGCTGTAATTCGAGCTTTGGCATCCTTACGAGAGATCATAACAACCCGAGATACGGCTACATCTTTCCGGTTTAAATTTTGAAAGAGGTATTCCGCCCATGTGGTATGCATAATGCCCCCTCCACGCATTCCAAAGACTTGGGCACATATGTGGAAGTAGCACATCAATTCCTAGAAAGTAGCATAAATTTTCGGGTACGCCATCTTCAGTAAGGAAAGCTCCTCGGTGGTGGGGATAAACTCCTCGTAGGGCGTTTTTCCGAGCGGCAGTCCCGACACTGCCTGCATCTCATGAAGAGCAAAGCCTAACTCTCCCGCAGGTGTGAAAATTGTGTAGCTGTCTGGGTTATATTTCTCCAACATGGCGAAGAAATTGTGAAAACTCTGCACGACTCCCCGTCGTGAAGCTAACACAGGAACTGTAAGACCCGATTGAGCGAGCGATTCCTTAAGCTCCTCAAGAATAAAGTCAACCATGCGGGTCCACCAACCTCCTTCTCCAGAACAGACCCATCCAGGGGATCTGAACGTCTGGGTAGAGAATTCACCCTGAATTGCAAGGAATTGGCGGATGAAGATGTTCACTGGACGTGGCATCTCCGGAACCAGCTCCTTCTTCTCAAACAAACCAGGTCTTAACCCCTTGAGTTGTCCCCCAATTTGTGTACGAGCTCGCCGACCAAATCCAAGCGACACGTTCTCCTTCTCCTTTACTATGTCGAAGGTCAAACCCCGACGGCAGCTCACATTCAAAAAGTAGGAGTGGGTACATCCTCTTCATGTTGGGGAGGAATAAAAGGCGACTATTAACTCTCTGCAGCAGCTTTGAATCTTCCACATATGTGAGATGATCATCGACTGGTATGCGATCTCCAAATATGAATGCTGGTTTAGGAAACTGGGCATGACCGACGGGGGTCTCCAAGTCTAAGTCAGTTATCAGAACCCTGAGAGTAGAGCATTGAGGGAATTTAATCATTTCTGCTCTTTCCGAATCAGGGAAAGTACACAATGGAATCCTGCTCTGAAGACTGAATGGTTCATTCGTGTCAGGTCCACTGATATATCCAAAATGATGCTCTTGTGAAAGCGGCACGTTTGGGAAAAGCACTGCACAATCAAAAGCAGAAGTTAGCAGCTAGAAGCGAGCTATCGACATAAAGACAGAGTCTGAAACACAAAGGGTTAAAGTCTCGTCTCCAACGCGAAGGTCGAACCTCGCGTCAGAAATCTCCAACGCGAATGTCGAACCTCGCGTCAGAAGTCTCAAACGCGAGAGTCGATCTCGTGTTGAAAAGTTTGAACGCGAGGGTTGAGACCCATATGGGATCCCAACCCCGCGTTTTCATTGAACTAAAACGAGTCATCTTCCTCGTTATCAAGAACCCATCTAGGGTTTTCTAAGAACTTGCCAAGGCAAGTTATTTCGGTCAGTACTCACCACGACAGGGAGGCCCCTGCGGTGGCGATGTCGACGGCAAGGTTCCTGCATGGACAAGGACACCGCCGGCATCCTCAGCCGACGGCATTTCGAAAGTCGCTCCGGCGACTTTCTTGGAGTTAGAACCCATTCTCCGAGGAGCCATTAATACAGTCGATCGGAGGAAGTTCTTTTGAACGAGAGAGACGGAGTTCGTCGGAGATTTCACCGTAAGCAAATGAGGGTTCTCGTTCTTAGGAATAGCCAAAAATTTTGAGAGTCAAGTGACTCTTGACATGACCACTCAGGTCTATTTATAACAACCGTCAAGCTGTTAAGATGGCACGGGATTCTAGGAGTGAATCACAACCATCTTTGAAACGCGAAGTTCACAATCACGTTCAAATTCCCAAGTACAAGGCTCAAGACCAGTGTCACGAAGGCCTGAACCTCGCGTTTCGAACATCAAACGCGAAGGTCACCTCAGTGTTGCAATTCTTCTAAATGAAGAACCTACACTTGTGAGCCCGTTTAACGGAGTGTTAATCAAAACCTCTGTATCTCTTCAGCAGAATCTAAATTCTCATTGGGTTAATACTACACCCCAGATGATCATCGTCCATACAGAGTCTAAGGTTAGCCGACATCAATACCAACGTGGCTATAGCTTCTCTGTCAGAATCCACTTATCAATTCTCATTAATAGAATGATAAGTCTCCAAATCATTGTCAATTTATTAGCTCTCCTCAGCAGAGCAATAAATAACCTGTTTTCAGTGGGGTAACAAAATTCCTCAAAATCTTGTTCAAACCACAAGTATCACAATTCATCGCCCGATGGTAAAACACTTAGCAGTTCTCCCCAGTGAGACGCTATAATATTCTTTCCCCACACCTGTCACGTTAAAATTACACCTCTGACAAGATCAACTTATCGATTCTCGTCAATAGAACGATAAGTCCTCAAAATTGCCCTGATCGCAATATTTTTCCTGTCATGTTAAAATCACACCTCTGACAAAATCAACTTATCGATTCTCGTCAATAGAACGATAAGTCCTCAAAATTGCCCTAATCGCAATATTTTTCCTGTCACGTTAAAATCACACCTCTGACAAAATCAACTTATCGATTCTCGTCAATAGAACGATAAGTCCTCAAAATTGCCCTAATCGCAACATTTTTCCTATCATGTTAAATCACACCTCTGACAAAATCAACTTATTGATTCTCGTCAATAGAACGATAAGTCCTCAAGATTGCCCCGATCGCAATATTTCAGCTGTCAAGTTAAAATTATACCTCTGACACCTATAGATTTCTTTCAGTGTTCAAAGCAGAAATAACACAGGAAGGATTCTACTAGTTAACTCCATTATGGGAAAATAATAGAATATTCATCCTCAGCAATTTGAAACTTTCTAAAGTTATCTTAAACGATAATAGAGAGAGTTTTCTGCACCAGAACAATTGTGGAGATCTATTCTAAGTCAAGAATACATCTCAGGCATTTCTCGTGACTTGTACTTAAAATCAAAACATGATAAATGCAAGAAACAATGAGAAGTCAATATCACTTTTTATTCAGAAACCAAAAGAAAGTGATACAAAGCTGTTTTTAAGAAAAAGAATAGTACAAGGTTAAGTCAAAAGAAGCAAGTTGAGCTTTGGCATCAGAGAGCTTCCCCTCATGATTGGCCCGTACAACGGCTTCAGCCTTCCTCCGCAGCTCATCCTCAGTGGGTGCCACTTCAGCGGCTGCCTCCTTCTTCGCTCTTTCAAGAGCTTGAGCTTCCTTATGGTAATTCAAAAGAGTGTCTGCATTTTTGGCCCCAAGTATATTAACAACGGCTTCTTCGCGAGAAAGCTGAGCCTTCAATCTCAGCACCTCCGCCTCAGCCTCGACAAGTTTTGTACGGATAAGGTCCAAAGAAGCAGTAGACAGCTCCAGTTCTTTTTGTCTCAGATCACTCTGTTCTCGCAAATGCGTGACTTGAAGTTCTTTCTCAGCCAGACCTCGCTCAATTGCCTCACGGCGAGTCACTTCCTCAACTTGGAGGTCAGCAAAAGTAGACACGATCTGTGTCTGAATGTCTTCATGGCTGAGGGATTCCAAATGTTTGAGCCGGGCTTCTAAGTGGGAAATAGCTTCCGAACAACGTTCAAAGCAATGGGCATTGTCCACACTTTTGACCCCATTTAAGCCTGCTTCTAAGAGAGACTTAAAAGAGTCAAAGCGGCCTCGACCAGCCGTGACAACCTCAATCACCTTCCTCACAAGACTGTTTAAATAACTCAGGGAAATATGGAGGAAGTCTGGAGCATCCATTGGACTAGAAAAAGCAATGGAAGACGACTCGACGACCCCGGAAGTGGACGTGCCAAAATATGGATTAACAAGTGATTTGGGTGTAGAAGTTGCGAAGGCAACTGAAACATTCAATTGCGAAGGACTTGAAGTCAAAGCCATCATTGTCCTCGCCGGAGACGCGCTTGGTCCGGCCTCTGTGGGCGCAAGCGAGATCTTCATCAATGCTGTAGGTGAAGCAGCTACAGTGGATGAGGTAGGCAGGGGCTGCTCTTGCATAGGAGCTGACACCAGCACAAGCTGCTGTTCCGGAGGAGGAGTTGCGGCAGTAGTTTCAGGCAATGCTGCAGGTGGAACAGTTGCCGTAGGAGAGCCAGGTAAATGTTGCTCTTCTAAAGGAGCCGACATCTGCGCAGGTTCTTGCTCTGAAGTAGTAGCAGCAGTGGTCCCTGGAGAAGGTGAACCTACACGGAAAAAGGGTCGGAACGCGAAAAAAAAATGTGGAAGAATTCGAAGAAAACTAGGCTTACCGGAGATGTGAAAAGGAGTATAACTAGATACTTTATCGGATGGGACCTTGGGAGCATCATCAAAAGTGGTGATGTCATCTATGGAATCATGCTCTTCATCATCTTCACCACCATCTGGCATGTTGCCAACGTCAGCATCCTCATCATCTCTGTCTTCGTCAGCTGCACTACCAGCCATTATAATCAACTCGCTCCTCATCATCCTAAGCCGCTAAAGGTCCCGGAAGATCTGTTCCAGCAACTGGTTTATTCATAAGTCCCGTTGTAGGACTAGGAATTAAATCACCAGCTTGTGACATTAATGCTGAAGGAGGAGGGGATGGATTCTCTTCAAGACCCCCTGGTTCCAATGCAGGAGACCTAGGGAGGTTCATCGCCGGAGCGGATTCTGCATCTGCATCCATTAATTCATCCTCTTGGTCCTCAGGAGGTATGGATTAACAAGTGATTTGGGTGTAGAAGTCGCGGAGGCAACTGAAACATTCAATTGCGAAGGACTTGAAGTCAAAGCCATCATTGTCCTCGCCGGAGACGCGCTTGGTCCGGCCTCTGTGGGCGCAAGCGAGATCTTCATCAATGCTGTAGGTGAAGCAGCTACAGTGGATGAGGTAGGCAGGGGCTGCTCTTGCATAGGAGCTGACACCAGCACAAGCTGCTGTTCCGGAGGAGGAGTTGCGGCAGTAGTTTCAGGCAATGCTGCAGGTGGAACAGTTGCCGTAGGAGAGCCAGGTAAATGTTGCTCTTCTAAAGGAGCCGACATCTGCGCAGGTTCTTGCTCTGAAGTAGTAGCAGCAGTGGTCCCTGGAGAAGGTGAACCTACACGGAAAAAGGGTCGGAACGCGAAAAAAAAATGTGGAAGAATTCGAAGAAAACTAGGCTTACCGGAGATGTGAAAAGGAGTATAACTAGATACTTTATCGGATGGGACCTTGGGAGCATCATCAAAAGTGGTGATGTCATCTATGGAATCATGCTCTTCATCATCTTCACCACCATCTGGCATATTGCCAACGTCAGCATCCTCATCATCTCTATCTTCGTCAGCTACACCACCAATCGAGGAGCCTTCATAATCAACTCGCTCCTCATCATCTCGAGTAGCCGAGGGTTCAGGAAGATTTGTGCCAGCAGCTGATCTCTTCATTAGTCCTGTTGTAGGACTAGGAATTAAATCACCAGCTTGCGACATTAATACTGAAGGAGGAGGGGATGGATTCTCATCAAGACCCCATGGCTCTAATGCAGGAGACTTAGGAAGGTCCATCACTGGAGCAGATTCTGCATCTGCAGCCAATAATTCGTCCTCTTCGCCTTCGGGAGGATGGTAAGAAGAAGCTTCGCTTGATAGGGCTGGGCTATGAGAACGAAGTCCAGCTCTATGTGGCAGGCCCGCCACGGACGATTCCTGTTGTTCTTCATCTACAGCAGCTCTGATGGCATCAGCCATCAACTTGGATTTTTGTTGGCCTTTGGGGGGAGAATCAACCAGTAGTTTCCGACGAATCTGCTTATCATACTTGCCGGCTTCATCTACAGAAAGTTTTCGTTTCCCCGCTGCTCTCGTTGTAGGAGGATCAACCACTCGTTGCTCTTCCCCTGGAGCAGGATCAGCTGTCTGTTCCTCTTCCTACCCAGCAGGCTGGTTTTCAATGGATAGAAACTCATCAATCCCTCTCAAGCGGGATGTTTTGGACCCCTTCCTTAAAGCATACATATGCCTAATGTCTTTTAGGCAAGATGTATTCAAGTTGTAATTGGGAGTCTGAGAAGCGGCGTAATACCAATTACAGAAGCTTATGGAGGTATAGGAGTTGACAGTTTTGTGGGGAAGCCTGAAGATGGCCTTAGTACAACCTGCCACAGAATAATACCAAGCCCTGGCTCCTTCATATAAATTGCCCACAACTGAGAGTTGAGGATGAGGGTTCCCGACATATAACTGATCATACCCAAATTGGCGAGCGAACCTATAGGGTTGGTAAGGTTCAATGAAACAGTTGACGCCTTGCCGAAAGATCAGGTAGCCTGGCCTGATGGAGAGAAGCCAATGGAAAACACCCCCGCTCAGATGAGTGAATCCATTAGGACCTGCTACGTCCTGATATTCCGCGCCATAGACGCCGCCCTCGAAATCAGGGAAACAGCGGTAGATGTGGAAGTGGGTGTCTCGCGCTAAGATTTGGCGAATTCTAACCATGTACCCTCCTTCCCATTTCACAGATTCTAGTCGCTGCACAAATGGGATGAATGAGTCTTCCGGGGGAGAGGCTGCACTCATCAAAGGAGGACAGTGAAGCACGTACCAAGCCATCAAATAAGTATATGGCATTGGTACCCTGGGATTGGGAGTTTTGAAAGCCTTGTGACCCTCAGACTCCACCTCTGTAATATCAACGAAGTCAGAGGCCAACTCCCGCAATCCATACTGCAAACAACCCACTATAGCATTGAGGAGGCTCACAGGTCTCCCATGTGCCAAAAGGATAGCTGGGTAGACCACCTCAACGGCAAGGGCATCGACCGGCCTAGTAGGGACGACGCAACATTTGAGCCACAACATCAAGAACCCGGCCAGCAGCACTGTGTCGGAAATTGGAATTAGAGCTTGATAATGGAAGCTTTCAAACTCTGTATGAGCCGGGAAAACATCTTCTTTAGCCTCGTTGGTATAATGGGAGGTAGCGTCGTTAATACGAGCCTGAACTTCCTCTAAAGTACTGGCAGGCAATCGGGTCACAGAGGCTCCTTTAGTGGTCAAGCTTTGGAATAAATATTCCGCCCAAGACACTTGTTTAATGCCGCTTCCTCGAGCCCCCGTCAGCTGCATGCAAATGTGGAAGTGACACATGACTTCCCAGAGAGTGGCATAAATTTCAGGGCTGGTCTTCTTCAAAATTTTGAGTTCCGCCGATCCCGAAACAAATTCTTCACACGGCAAATCCCCAAGAATAAGACCCGAGACTTCGTGCATCTCGTGAAGAGCAAAGCCTAACTCCCCCACAGGGGTGAAGAAAGTGCAACTCTCAGGATTATACTTCTCTAGTATGGAGAAGAAGTGAAAGTGGCTCTGGACAATCCCGAACTTAGTAGCCCGCACAGGAACCAGCAATCCAGCTCGGGCAAGAGGTACTTCCAATTCATCCAAAACAAACTTGGTCATCCGGGTCCACCACCCCGTCACCAGAGAATGAACCCAGCCAGGAGTTCTAAATCCTTGCGCGGGAAACTCTCCTTTCTTTGCCACAAACCTCTTGACAAAGGTATTTGCCGGACTGGCCACTTCACCGAGGGGATACTCCTTAGCAAATAAACCCGACCGTAAAGCTGTCACCTGCCGGTTATAACCAACTATGCGGACCCCGTGAAAAGTTAGAGTTCCGAGAGCGACCCCATACTGATCCTTAACCAGGGGCTAATCCATACGCCTTGGGACGGAAGCACACTGGAAATAAGATATGGGGAACATCCTCTCCATATTGGGCAAGAAAAGGTTGCGGTCCCTAACTTTCCGCAGCCACTTATAGTCCCCATCATAAGCAGCGCTTGCTTCGAAGTCAACAAAGTCCCCGAAGAGGTATCCAGGTTTGACTATTGGCCTACGGCTTGGGCTTTCAAGTCGAGCGTCCGAAACCAATGTCCTAAGAGTGTCATGAGAAGCTTGGGTGATCAGTTCCACGCGACTCTTTTCCCTAACTCGGAAAACTGGGAGTTCTTGGCGCGAGCTGAAGGTCATGTTCATGTCCGCACCACCTTCATGCCCAAAATGGTGGCGAAAAAGAAGGGGTTCACTGGTATGGCGCACTGCAAGATAAAGAAAAATTTAGACAAGGCAAAAACAAAGCACAGACGCGAAGGTCGACCCCCGTGTCAGAAAAAGTCCAGACGTTCAGCGCTGACAGTGCCGATCCTTGAGCCGCAGCGACGTCGGACTTGGGAGGACGAGAGACCAATTTCTTGGGTGCCATAGGGTTTTGTCGGAGGAGAAGAACAGTTGTCGCCGGAGAAGAAAACGAAATTTTTCGTTAAAGTTTCAAGAAGAGTCGAATGACTCTTGATTTCACCTCCAGCGGTCTATTTATAGACAGCTGTGAGCTGTCAAATCGTAACGGACGGGATTCGAGGCCAGAATCCCGCCCAAACTCGACCCTAGCGTTCGAGTTGTTTGGACTTCCAAATGCGAGGTTTAGCCACGCGTTCAAATTCTCCGACGCAGGGCTCACCCACGCGTTCCAATCCTCAAATGCAGAAATTATCTCTGTGTTTGGACCGCTATGATAGCAGCTTCTTGACTACCAAGGCTACGACACGGCCCCAGATAAGTAAAAGAAGAGCTAACAGCAATCATCAAGGCGACCAAAGCCGGGAAGAAACAAACGACTCCACTGGGGAGTCTATTGGAAAAGGACAGATAGATTACAGTCAACAACATTGAAATCATCTGGCTCGATCAGACGGAGTGAGCAATCAATCCACTAAATTTTGGGATCTAAAGTATTCCGAAAATTCGTCCCAGTCAACCGCGAACTTTCGAAAACTTTGGAGGGGGTTCTGTAGGCTGTCTAAAAATCACAATGGCTAGCTGATCCCTATCAAGCTCCGACAATGGAAGTCACAATCAGACGACTTTCTAATCGCTGTATCTGCAACTCTGCGACCGCTACAAACACGGCCTCATTTCTGAGATGATTGATCTTGATGGTTGCGACAACAACATGACTAATATTATATTAGCAACTATTAGAGATGTTGATGAGCAGTGTAATGATTTCAGAAATAAAAGGTTGGACTTAGTTGGTGAGTTGCTTGGTAGTGAGCTGTGGGCAAATATTCATCTAAAAACACTATGGATGTTGATTCCCGTCAAGTTACAATAACGAAAGCTACAATCAAATAGCTTTTGCGCCGACAATCGAAAGCTGCAAATAGAGGACTTTTCACATAGATCGAGAAGAGATACAATTCAACGACACTTCCGACAACTGATGAAAACTCTATTCAGTAGTCTTCACATTCTGCAGTGAAAGTTACAATCTGACGACTTTCACACCCCACAATAGCTAAAGCTAGGATTACTGAACAACGGTCCTTGCAACGCTTTACAGAAGAGGTTACAGATCAACTAAGTCCTTCTAAAACGCGGAAGTCATCCCCGCGTTACAATTCTGGAAGTGCAGGCGACCCTCGCGTTTCCAAGCTACAAGCTAAACGTGAGCGACCCTCGTGTTCGTAGGGGTCCAACCAACACCGACCCCCGCGTTTCCAAGCAGGCAACAAGTCAAAACGCAAGCGACCCTCGTGTTCATCAATGTTCAGCCAACACCCAACTTCGCGTCTCAATTCTAAGACACGAAGTTGGGGTTCTGAACGCCAGATTGGGCGTTTGACTCGTTCAAACACGAGTCGAACGGTTTTAGAACTGTTTTCCCCCACGGTCTGAGGAAATCACGCCCACTCAGGAGCGGATTTAGAGGGCAGTTACAACCCCTGATCCCCCTATAAAATCTCAACAAACTCAACTGAGTTGGGGGTGGGCTTTTTGGGTACGAAGAGGCAGCAGAGAGGATTCTTCAGAATCTCAACCACACAGAGAGTCAGGAGAGGCGAATTCCTTGGAGATAGAAGATTTGAATCAAACTCAGAAGATCAAATCTAAGAGGATTTTTCAACAACAGAATATCTGTGTTTGGTGGAAAATTTTGTAACAAGAAAATGAGAAAGGAACTGTACTTGATTTTATTCTCTCTAACTGTTTAGAAAAAGAATGATTATAATTCTCTCAACTCTCAATTACAATTGGATTTTTTATTACAAAAGAGAAGAGAATGATCGGGATTCTCTCCTTTGTTTAATTCTGGGTTCTTCTTGGTAGCGATGAGATGCCTCCCTCGATTGTTCGCGTCGAGTTTGCTTCTCGTTGACGATCCGAATATCTATACTCACTGGAACAACTGTCTTGTCTGGTTGATAACTCTTGACGAGTTTTGTGATTCAGAACAAGTAACAAACTCTAATGATAGAGTTGTTGGAACCGAAAATAATTCGGTTAATAAGCCAAATATCGTTCGAACCGAAAATAATTCGGTTGATAAGCCAAATATCGATGGTTTAGAGATCCTCCGTTTGTTGATTTCCCAGGCTGTGTAAGGAGTCAATCCTCCTTTTTCTCCAAAATCCAATCTCACCCGAAAGATCCTCTCCACGAAAATCCACCCCTTGATCTGATTATCAAGAATCCGATCCCTCACTCTGTTGAGTTTGTTGCTATTTATAGGGGGATTAGGGGTGTAACTGCCCCCATAATCCGCACCTAAATGGGGGTTTAGTTACCCCATTAGTCGGGTGTAACAACCCACTAAAGCCACTCCTCAAATCGTGGGTGAAGAACAGCTTCGAAGTTGTTAGATCACGTTTGAATGAGTCAGAACCTTAACCTGCGTTCTGGCGGTGATTGAGCTGCGTTTGGCAGCGACTGACGGGCTGCGTTGGGCAGCGATTGATAAGCTGCGTTGGGCAGCGATGGAGCTGCGTTCGAGCTGTGCTTGGCAGCGATTGGAGCTGCGTTCGAGCTGTGCTTGGCAGCGATTGGAGCTGCGTTCGAGCTGTGCTTGGCAGCGATTGGAGCTGCGTTGGGCAGCGATTGATAAGCTGCGTTGGGCAGCGATGGAGCTGCGTTCGAGCTGTGCTTGGCAGCGATTGGAGCTGCGTTCGAGCTGTGCTTGGCAGCGATTGGAGCTGCGTTCGAGCTGTGCTTGGCAGCGATTGGAGCTGCGTTCGAGCTGTGCTTGGCAGCGATTGGAGCTGCGTTCGAGCTGTGCTTGGCAGCGATTGGAGCTGCGTTCGAGCTGTGCTTGGCAGCGATTGGAGCTGCGTTCGAGCTGTGCTTGGCAGCGATTGGAGCTGCGTTCGAGCTGTGCTTGGCAGCGATTGGAGCTGCGTTCGAGCTGTGCTTGGCAGCGATTGGAGCTGCGTTCGAGCTGTGCTTGGCAGCGATTGGAGCTGCGTTCTAGCTGTTGATTGTTGTAGTATTTAGATTTCTCTGTCTTTATATATGGATGACACCAAAGACCAGTAAAGAAGGTCTTATTCAGGCCATTTGTGACAATTGAGGCATCTCAATAACGCTCTATCAACTGCAGGTCATGATCTCCACTGAGTGTGTCGAATATCATTACACTGCTCATCAGCGCCTCTAATGGTTGCTAATATAATATTAGTCACGTTGTTGTCGCAGCCATCAAGATCAATCATCTCACATAAGAAGCTGCATTCGTGTTTATAGCTGTTGCAGCGGCGTAGGTGATTGAATCGGTGTAGTGTCTTGATGATGGTACGCGGGGAGGACTTCCACGTCTTGGTTTGAAGAGGTCATTGATTTGTAATCCCTTTCTGTCAGAGTATTGCTAAAGACTGTCGTTTTGTAATCTTTGCTTTGACATGTGAAAATCTTCGAATTGTAGTCTTCTGGAAGTCGTCAGATTGTAACTTCCATTATCAGTGTTCGATGGAGACTCAGCTATCTATTGTGATTTTTAGACAGCCTACAGAACCCCCTCCAAAGTTTTCGAAAGTTCGCGGTTGACTGGGACGAATTTTCGAAACACTTTGGAACCCAAAACTTTGCTGATTGAATGTATTTCCTCATAGACTGAGTAGAGTATCTCAGGATTTTAGACAAATTTGTCGACATCCTTTTTCTTGTTTGATTCGTCAACAATGGCTTGGACTTCAGCTTGTACGAACAGACTTTCATCCCCTGCTTATTCAGGAAGACAGCTTCGGAAGAATTTTCTTGATCAACTTGTCTGAGGTAAAACGATCTCGGCCGTCTGATTATTACTTGGAATATTAACCCCTTCGAAGGAGTTATTT